AAAGAGTCCAGATTTATGTGTGAAATTCTAAAAACTAAAGGGAGAATCTGTGACAACATAAAGGTGGCAAAAGATGTGCAGGGAGCGGCGTCTCTTTGTTTGGTGACGAGCCGAGTGCGTGTTCAACTTGACCTGGTAGAGTCCCTGCAGGATTTTTCCTGCCTGCCTGCATCTTCATCTTCATCTTCATTGTTCTACAGATGAAGATGTGCAAAGCTCATTGAGATAAATGAGTGAAATATAACACAGAAACACATCGGCATCAAAAAGTGGAATAAAATGTGACGCTGTGAAGAGCTTCAGACCTCTTCTGTGTCTGTGCAGAAACATGTATTGTTTTATCATCTAAGCAGATGATGGTGATGATGGTGAAATGTATTATTAACACAGTCGGGATGGACTACAAGAAACGTGCCACAACATTCTGACTTTTACTCTTAAGGATCATAGCGAGCGGAAGGTTGAGGGTTGAAATCCTCAACAGAACAGTCTTCCAGTTAGAGGAGGTGAGTGTGGAGTCTCTGTGTCGTGTTCAGAGCTGGAGGTTCTGTCTCCTACAAAATAAGGTTTCCATTCAGTCACGGTTCCCTCGAAACAAAATTGAATGGAAACATCATTTTACAGTTTAAAACTCTTTCACATGCGTGGTCGTAAAAAACAAAACAAAGGTTCAAGAACTACGCGGTTAGTTTCAATAAAAAGTATCGTGACTTTGCTACAAAACTAAAGAAAAACGCAACAAAAGTTCTTGGTTTGCTCGGGACACGAAAAGCGGGCTGCTGGGTGAAAGTGTTTTATTGTTTGAAACATATTTGTAATATTTAAAAAATTAATGTAATCCACAACTAGACAGATTTCCCTCTATGTAATTCACAAAGCAGTTTGTTTACATTGGAAGGTAACTGGGCTGTAGAACCAGACCTCATTTGAAATTTGTATGAATTTGAATGAAAATAAATTTCATTTTCTCTTGGTGTGTACGACTTTTATTTAAAAGTAGAGTGAGTAAAATATTAAACAGAACCTGTTCCTATAATTAACCAAAAAAGGAAAAAATGTTGACTAACTGGAACTGTTGTCTTCAGAATATTGAACATTTACTGCAGAAAAAGAGCATCTCGCGCAACCAGCCAACTAAAGTACAACTGTTGAGCTCTGACCCATTCGCTGCTCTCTGCTTCTGCTCTCTGCACCGACGGCACTCTTTCTCTTCCTGTCTCTCTTGGCTCTGTTCTCGTTCATGGAGGAGTTCCTACATGCTGCTCAGCAGCTGAATGGGTCACTGAGAGGTCTGTGAACGCATCCTGCTGCTGCTTCAGAGACACAAACAAGACAACAACCGATAAATAACATACAACGAGCAGGACAGGAAGCTGCTGTCACACATTTGAGTAACAGGCTGGCTAGTAAAAAAAAAAAAAAGACAACATCTTTTAGTTATTTATCTTTTTCAAGGCAGGAAAAAATTCTGAATTTTGTTTAAGGTGAGAGACTAAATTGTATTTTTTTTCACATCATTCAACCTCTTTGATATGGGTTTGAATACGCCGCTATGTTTATGGTCGTTAATAGAAGACTTTTAAGCCTTTAACATGTCTCTCATGGAGGGTGGCCAAAATAACAAGAACGCCTGCCAATCTAAAGCATCCAAACACAACAGCTGTTCATTGAAATCATTAACGAGGATTATAATGCTGAGAATGTGTTATAAACGTCTTTCCATCCTCAGGTTACTGAAACAAGACTTTCAGGGACAGGACAGTGTTTTTGTGTCACTATACTTCTCAAACATTTTGCTTTGAATATGTATGTTTGGGAAATATGTTAAATATTGTCACGTCCGTTCATCACCGGTTCTCATTGTATATCAGCAGCAGAGATGCTGTTTCTGCTGCTGCGTGAATCCGCAGTTTATATGAACATATCCATCTATATGAACCTCAACGTGTTTCTGATCAAAGCTCCTCATCACGTGTTGATTTTGCTCCTTTACATTACGATGCATATTATGGTTTTATATACAAAACATATGTTCATTTTACAAAATATGGTGCATTGTTGCAGATTAAACCCATCAGTATGAAACCAGCTTCACTAGTTTGAGCTGCTCACTGAATGAATCACAAAGAGAGAAGTTAGTTTTATTAAGAGGAAGAGAAATATCACCATGAAACTTCCCCAGCTGATTACTTACATTAACACAAATATGTTTTTTGTATTACAGATTTCTGAAACGGTATGTTTGCATATGTAAATGAGGCATTATCTTATTAAATATGTGCTAGTTTGCATAAATCTCCATAACAGAAATCTAAACATTGGTTCAAGTCAGGTTCATAATTCTTGTTTCCTTTTGTTGACATATTAGAGTCAAAGGTTTTTACAGATAATTTATAATGTCTCTTTATATCACTCCATAAATCAGAAAATACTGTGAACCATAAAACAAAACATGTTTTCAGTGATAACATGTATAAATGAGTGTGTGAGTGATGAGTGAACTAACCCCTCTGTGTGAACCTTCAGCACACAGAGAGGAATGAACGAGTGAAGTTTAGTGAATGTAAGAGCTGCTGAAGTGGAGATTTATCATCAGAGTCTGAGAACAAACTCATTTAGAGGAAACGTCCTTTAAAGAGACGTTTAGTTCCATTACAGACATTTAGAGACTCTACAGGTGAACACATGAACTCATAGATATCACCATGAAACTTCACCACTTCATCACTC